AGACGTGTGCTCTTCCGATCTCCACACTGTGGATAAAAATAATTATTCTTGTCCACATGATAATGTGGATAAGAATTCAGGCATGGGTGGCTGTACATTTCGTTAAAATTACAAATTGTCTCGCACAGTCCGCAGGTGTACACACCAATTTCCTATAAAGCATAAAATACAGTATTAATTCCAAGGATGATATATCAAACATTAAAGAGAAGTTATGTATAAAAATGTATCACTGCAAATTATTTCAGACAAATACACAATCAATTAAAATAAAAAATACATTATACAAACCTGGTTCGCTGTCGTTGTCGTTTAAATTCATTTTTACTGAAATAAAGTACTGAAAATTAACACAAATTAGCTGATAAATATAACAACACAGCGTTTGGACGCTGAAGTTGGGCAAGTTTGAACTTCCAGCGTCAAAACGCTGAAGAGACACATTTCATGCGCATTAACAGATACGCGTGACCAAGGCTGCCGGAGTGGAGATGGTCGCTAGCGTCTTGACGCTGCGTGAAATTGCAGCCTTATACTAGAATGGCTACAATCTTGGGTTGTGTGACTATAATTCTATAACTTATGGAGTAACTTATAATATATTTACAGGTTGTCGTCGATAGGAAGAATACATACTTTTGATAATGCTCGTTTGGTTACACCGTGACTCGTTTTTATAGAAACCACGTGTACTATACCATCTTTTCCTGGATGTATTTCCGAAATTCTACCTAATGGCCAGGTAATCGAAGGAGTATTCTCTTTTTTATCAGCACCATGGTGCCTATTTGTATGTTAGCATCTTCTAGTCGCTTCCATTTGAAACGTTGCTGCAATTGGGATATATATTCCTGCGACCATCTAGACCAAAAACTTCGTTTCATTTGTATAATTAATTGGTAACGCGTTAAACGATTTACAGGTACCTCAATGAGATCGCGCTCCGGTATCGCATTAAGCGCTTCTCCTATAATAAAATGCCCAGGTGTCAACGCTTGCAGATCTGTAGGATCATTAGAGATTGGTGTGAGCGGCCTGGAGTTTAAGCATGCCTCTATTTGTACTAAGATAGTAAGAAGCTCTTCGAAAGTTAATGGAGTCATTCCTATAATCCTTTTCATGTGTGTTTTGGCTGACTTTACTGCGGCCTCCCATAATCCACCTATGTGTGGAGAGTAAGGAGGAATGAACTTCCAATTAACGAACTGTCCAGTTAAGTATTCTTGTAATTGACTTTGAGTTGTATCTTTAGCTAGAAATTCTTTCAACTCTAATAGCTGATTATTAGCACCGACAAAGGTAGTGCTATTATCTGAATATAAGTTGAGGCATTTACCCCTTCGAGCGATCAGCCTTTTAATTGCATTTAAAAATGATACCGCGCTCAAGTCTGGTACTAATTCAAAGTGTACAGCTTTAGTAGATAGGCAAATAAAAATGGATAAATAAGCTTTTCCCGTTTTATTCCGTGATATCTTGATACTAAACGGACCGGCATAATCTACGCCTGTATTTAGAAACGGACGCGCTTGAGTGACTCTATGCGCAGGTAGATTACCCATCAATTGTGCGGCAGTTATGGGGCTTGTACGATAGCAAACTATACATTTTCTTGAGACGCGACGAATTGCGTCCTTTCCCGAAATATGCCAGTAGCTGCTGCGCACGGCAGCTAGTACTGCTTGCGACCCGGCATGCAGATTCCTGTAATGAGTGTCTCTGATTATTAATTCCGTGAGATGATGCTTTTTGGGCAATATAACAGGATATTTCCTAGCAAATTCTATAGGCGCATGCCGTAACCTTCCCCCCACGTGGATAAGACCATCTCCGTCAAGGAATGGATGTAAGGTTAATATTTTGCTTTTTGAATTTAATGGCTTTTTATTACGCAGATCATGCAACTCTTGTTGGAATTCGCTTTCTTGACACATTCTAAGTATTGAAGTTAATGCTTCGCTCGTTTCTTGAACAGTTAAGGGGCCCTTTTTTCGCTTTACCTCTTGCTTAGCGCTTAACGCGTTGTTTTTGAAACGGAAACAATATGCTATAACTCGTTTTAGTCTGGTGAATGAAGAAAATCTCTGGATGATGTTCACATCGGACTTCAATGCTGCATCTTGTGTTATTAGACTTGTTATGCGTTTTTCTGGTATGTCTTTAACAGTACTTCCAGATGTGAATGGATGCAGCGCTGTGCTGTGATGTAAGAATTCCGGTCCTTCCCACCAAAGTTGCATTAGCTTCATTTTTTCAGGAGTAATTCCTCTTGACAGTGGGTCAGCTGGGTTATCCTCTGATTTAATATAATACCATGAAGCATCGTTTGTAACTCGATTTATTTCGACTACTCTGTTAGCGACGAACGTGTGCCATCTGCTTGTTTCACTACGTATCCACGATAGAGCTATCGTAGAATCACTCCAATAGTATATGTCTTGGATTTGAATAGTTAGCGCTTGGGCAACTCTTTGACATAGATGAGCTAGCAATGTAGCTCCACACAATTCTAGTCTCGGCAGCGATATTTATTTTATGGGCGCTATTCGCGATTTGGCACATAGAAGCTTCATTGTATATTTTCCTTCGGCGTTGAGACTGCGCAAATATATGCAAGCGCCGTATGCGGCCTCCGATGCATCACAGAAACCATGTATTTCTGTTGTTATGGGATTGTCACATAAGACCTTTCGTGGTATAACAATATTTTCGAGAAGCTTAATTTGCTCCCTCCACTGAGTCCACATAGTGTATGTCTCACCTGTGATGTTTTCATCCCAATCTTTATTTATTTGCCAAATACGTTGAAGTATTATCTTCGCTTTAACTACTATCGGGCCTATCCAACTGAGAGGATCATAAATTTCGGCTACTTTTGATAGTATGCTGCGCTTTGTGACCTTTTCCTTATCATTTTTTAATTTAATACGGTAATGAAATGTGTCTGTAATTGTGTTCCACCATAGACCCAGAATTTTTGTTGCTTCTCCGAGTTTGACTGTAGCTTCGCTGCTGTCTAAATCTTCTATTTCTGTTGTGTTGGATTTCCATTTGTTGAGCTCAAATTTTGCACATGACAATATGTCTACAATATTCCTTTTTAATTCTTTTAGTTCTTCAATTGAATCGGCTCCTGTTAGTAGGTCATCTACGTAGAAGTCCTTTAGTATTACTTCGTATGCCCGTGGATATTGTTCCTTGTACTGGTGTGTTGCTTCTTGTAGGCATCTGATGGCCATGAATGATGAACTTGACATGCCGTAAGTAATTGTGTTCAACTCGAATGCACGCACGGGATCTTCCTTTGAGTGCCTTTGACCATCTCCATAAGATGCGTTGAAATTTGCGATGTTCTTTGACTACCTCAACTTGTCGGTACATCTTAGTGATGTCTGCTGCTAATGCATACTTATGTTGACGAAGACGCATGACGATATCAAATAAATCTTCTTGTAAATTCGGCCCCACTTTGAGAAATTCATTGAGAGATCGTCCAGACGTGGTTTTGCATGACGCGTCGAAGACGACTCTCAATTTTGTGGTTATGCTATCCTCTTTCGTTACCGCATGATGCGGAATATAGTAAGCAAATTTATCCTTTATTTTATCCGTTGAAATTTCCGACATGTGCTTTAAGTTGTGATATTTGTGTAAAAATTCGTGATATTGCCTTTTAATATCATGTTGCTTTTCCAATTTGCGTTCCAGTGCCTTCAGTCGTTTTTCGGCGATGTTGTAGGAGTTGTAGTTCCCTAGTTCTTGAATGCCTTCCTTTGTAGGTAGTTGCACTATAAAACGACCTTCTGCATTTCTGGAGTGCGTATTGACAAAGTGCTGTTCACATTGAATTTCTTCTTAAGAACGAAGCTCTGATTGTTTTACTTCTTCTATCTGCCAGAATTTTTCTAACTGCTTTTGGATGCCTGCAACCGTAGATACGCCACAATGTGTTTTGAATTGTTGCTGCGTGTAGTTTGCTTGCACGTTTCCTGAAATTATCCAACCCAGAGAAGTCTCTTGAAGTATAGGCGCTCTTTTTGATGATTTAATTTGCTTGCTTCCTAGGATATCCCAGAAGCTAGATGCTCCTAATAATCTAGATCTATGCCTCCCGGTATATGCCCAGACAGCACAGGATATCCTGTGGACATCCGTTTTATGTCCATTTCTGGTCGGGACATCCATGAGCCTTACAAGCTGTCCATAGGATATACATTTGTGGACACTATAAGGATATCCCCAAAAGGATAAGTTTGTATGTCCATATGCTATCCTCATTTGTACATACG